AAAATTACCTTTTGTCCCTCAGACTGGGCCTGAAGGATTCAGAGCACTAACACCAATTTCTGACAGTATACATAACAGGCAGATATAGAGATATTTCTGTTAGGCTGAACAAACGCATACAAATGACCAAGTCCAGAGGCAAAAAAAAAAAAAGTGATTTCCTGCCTTGTGCTCAGTTTTAAGAAAAAAACAAAACAACAACAAAAAACCACAATTTCCTAGGAAACCCCCTTAGAGATATGCTCCTCGTGCTTCATTGTTAAGAATTGTGTCTCATACCTATTCCTAAATAAATAAAATTATCATAATTAGTTGAGATTGAAAGTCACCTATTTCTGGGGCACCTGGCTGGCTCAGTTGAAAGAGCATGTGACTCTTGATCACAGGGTTGTGAGTTCGAGCCCCATGTTGGGTGTAGAGATTACTTTAAAAAATAAAAAAGAAAGTCATCTATTTCTGAGGCTATAGAAGGGCACAATCTTCCTAAAGACTGATGCCTTAACAAAATTATAGTTCAGTTAGCAAGGAAGAAGAGATATGTGGATCTAGATAGGTAACTTTTCTAACTTTACAGGAAAAATATCCAAAAGAATTTCTCTCTCCAACTTCAAGGAGAAGTAATGTAAGTATTTCAAATTAATTATAACAATAATAATCAATATTAAAACAACACACTGCAACAATTCAAGCTTGGGAAAATATGTATGTTCTATAAAGCACTGCAATAAAACTGTTTCTGGTATTTCTTGTTCTCCTAGGAACTACTGGCTCATAATATATAAATATTTAAAAGCAGTTTTTAAAACATATAGTATAACTTCAGTATTCATAATGACTCAGAGAGCTTTGAGGTATTTTTGAAAATTGACATTCATGGCAGACCACCTCTACGGTCTACCACAGCATACTGGGTAAACATATCATGTAAAACACATATTGTTTACATAATACATATCATCATAAAAAGTTGCAGTGTACATACCAGACTTTTCTACTATACTATGTTGGACTATTAATAACTCAAATTTACATCCCAAGGGGCTACCATGCCCCAATTCAAACTTAAAAACAGCTGTGCAAACAAAGCAAGGGTGAGGGGCAGGTGTATAAGATATGAAGGGAGAGACACATGACACACTTGACCTTCAGAGATATAATTCCATGGAACCCAAGTGCTAGATATATGACAGGAAATATGCTAACTTTGTGCATGCAAACCCCTTGCCCTGTAAGTTAGTTTAATATAATGATCAAACTGTATAGTGATGGATTTCTATTTTAGTATGGAATAGAACTACACAGTATACACTGTATATATAAAACGAGACTATATCCATATTCTATCTATCCAAATAGTTACTGCAATATAGTCCATAACAAACTGCTATTGTCTGCCTTAACATACACACACACCCCCCAAACACACACACTCCTTCTCTTCAACAAAGAAGCTATCAAAATTCTAGTAGTATTCATAATTATCTTGGATATTCTTTTGCTTGTCCTAGCTTTTTCCCCTTGATTTTGTCTAGTTTCTAGCCCTTAAGTTTATTATGCATTTATTACATGGTATCCTGCCCTCTATGTTTGGTTTCCCCAGGTTTTATTCGGAGCTCCATATTTTAAGGACTTTTTTTGGGCTAATTACTCTAGCACTCTGCACCCTGGACTTTGATACACCCTCCTGGGCCTCTTTTGGGTTCAGCCTTTGGTTTGGATCCACAAACTGGCATGTGAATAGAGTCTCTAAGTCTGTGCATGGGAGAGGTTGAAATGACTATAAATAATATTGAATATATTTCTACAAATCATCTTTTCAAATTCTGTATGTCTTCTTATGGAACCATAATAAATATCTTGTTTTCAAACATGCTGTTCATCAGAATTACCTACAGAGCTTTTTAAAAATATTTATATTCAAGTGCTATTCCTGGAGATTATAATTCAGAAGGTCAGAAGCAGGTCTCTGGCATCTATATACTGAAAGTGTCATATTTGATCCAGCTGGGCAGCCAGAATTGAGAAACACTGTTATAAAAATTGCAGGAGATGGTTCATATCTTCTTCCTTTTCCTATAGCCAAGATAAGGCAAGAAAATGGAGATAAAGGTGTGGGAAAGAGAAAAGGGAGTAAGTTACCTTTGCCATCTGGCTTTTGAGATGAGAAAATGTGGCAGTCCAAAGCTAGGCAAAACTGCAACACAAATAAAGGTTGCTTTTGTTACTCCTATCACTTATTCTTCTCCTATCTTTTGGCTTTCCACCTCTTTGCTTGACCTCCAAAGTATTTGAAGGTACTCGTGTTGTATGTATCTCCACCTACTTCATCATAATACTCAGTTCTGTTGCTTTCTGCTTATTCTTTGCTTTCCTGACAAGCAAAACTCCCAACCTTCTGTTTGTTTCAGGTATGCATAAGGAAAACAAGCAGCACTAAGATACTAATACTTGCTTTTGTCAGTTAAGCCTAGTATTATCAGTTTACCTGATAATCTCAGTGATTCTCAGTTAAGATATTTTTGATAAGAAAACCTTTCCCTGAATTAATTCTGTCTGTAAGGAGGGAAAATGAGTCTGTAGCTGCCAGTCACTGTTGTTACAAACCTTCCCAACACTTTTTCTTATCTAAATCCTCTGACTAAAAATGTCCTATCCACTTAGTGAACAATGGCAACTTCCACTCTAGAGAAGGAAAGGATCCAAGACCAAAGCTTGAGATCTGTTAACTGAGAGACTTCCATTTCCGAAGTATGAAAATCTGTAGTTATTTGGTTTAACTAATTTTCCCAGAAGACCCAAAGATTATTCTATGAATAACTAGATACTAAGTAAATAAACTAAGAGAACCAAAGAGAGATTCTGAGGAAATGACTTATGGGTAAACTGAAATCAGAAAATGGAGGAGTCATTCACTCTAAAAGCTGCCCCTTTCTACCCACTGAAATGACCATTAGGATTATCATTATCACTGCTGAGAAAGACATAAGGAAAAATAAGATGGGAAAAAAGACAAAGAGAAACAGTAACTGTGGAAAGCAAAGAGAAGCAAATGTGATTTTGAACACTTATCACCCCAAGCCTTTGTTTACTGTCTGCGATACCCTTCCCACTTCTTCGTCTGATTAACTCCTACTGATCTTTTAAGTCACAGTGGGTTTGCCACACTGGGAACATAACCTCAACTCCCACCCCCCCATCACAGACTAAGCTACATGTTATTCTGCTATAACACAAGTATAATATTCTGTCTTACAGCACTTACTACACTCTTTTGAACTAATGTTGGAGGATTAGGAAATAGAGGGAAACACTCTTTCCATATTTTGTGTTCTCCAAACTCTACAGTGAAATGACCATCTGTTCACTAAATTCTGATTTACTGAAATTAAAGTACCATTGTTTTCAGAAAATATAACTATTTAGGATTGAATAAATAAAAAATAGCATATGAGGAGCGCCTGACATTAAAGATCTTATACTGTAGGACAATACTTCAGGATTGAAGAAAACACTAGGCATCTATACCTACCCCAAATGAGCCAATTATTAAAACAAAACAAAAACCCATTTAACTGTACCTATAGAACAGGAAGCTGTTGAACTAAGAACCAAACCTCCCCTACATAAAATCTTACCTTATTGCTGATGCAGGAAAACTACTCATTTAATATTTTAAAAGCTATACAACTGTGATTGTATTGAAGGTCATTCTTCATTTCTTTTAGGAAAGATGTACAATAAGACTGTAAAATAATGTAAATATTTGTGTATATACTTTGGTATAAATACTTTTTTTCTATTTTAGGTTCACTTTTTTCCCCAAATTTTTACATTGAAAATTTTTGTACTCAAAGTTGGAAGTAATGGCATAACAAATATATATATTCTCCATGTAAATCAAATTGTTAACTTTTTGTCAATTTGTTTTCTCTCACTCGTGTATCTCCATATATTCTCAACTTTACTTTTGTGCACCTTGTCCTAAAAATTACTTTTTAAGACACATAAAGAATTCAAATTCAATGAACTTTTATCTCACAAAAATCTTTGTCGGTTTTAAGGATGACCTGTCTCATCCAGTCAAATTTCAGTAGAATTATACAATCATAATTTTTACTTCTTGAATATGGCTAAATGAAAAATAATTAAAATTTCATATTCACCTGGGTTTTAAAACTGAGAAGAGCATACAATACCATCCACATGCACACATCTTCCTGATGTAAAAATTCTTAGCAAGGGATGGTTGATGTTGATAAAGACTTCCTTATACCAATAGAAAAGAGAACTGCTAATGTTAATAGACTAAATAACCATCTAATCTGAACCAGTGGTTTTGAAAGCATATCTCATGGAGAGATAGAACATATAAAATGGATCAGACAGAGGAGTTTCAGGAGCCGCTCTGGATGAAGGGCTATGAAATGCTTCAAGTCCTACCAGAGTACTCTGTATTTTGTTCCTCAGGTACCTTCTCAGTCCAGGGAGTAGTTTGAATACTATTTTGATGCAACTGCACAGTTATGCAGATTTTTAAAATCAGAGTATGTTGACTCTTCAAAATACAGTAAGGAAGTTTGGTGGGGTTTTTTTTGAGAAATAGTAATATAGCTTACAAAACAGAGGCTTTAGAAATGAAAGCAAACTTTGCAACTACATATTCATCTCAAAATAATTTAGCTTTACTATTTAAGCAAATATATATCATACAAGTATTTTTAAACAGAAGTTCTCTAAAATGTGCCACATAAAATTTTTAAGTATTTGCAGTTTTTAGCATTAAGACCATTTTATGAACAAAGAAACTATAATAAAATACATAAGGTGATAGCACATCAACTTGCATTTGATGTAACATTAAAATTACAAGAATATTTAGATCAGGTATTCTCTCAAATGTTAATTCAAAATGTTATTGTCAACAATAAGAAAAAAGGAGAGACAGAAAACAGTCGTTATGCTCAAATAAATATAATTAAGAGATATGGGAAACTTTGTACCTTTATGTGGTTTTTCAAACTCTTCAGATAAGAGGTGGTAGCAACAACCCACACTGCAAACTCCCTTGATTTCAGACTTGGAAGTAAATATTCGCAGAGTATTTGGAGCAAGATCACCGCAAGTATGTAGACCTACCATCAAACAATCCTTTGAAAATGAGAAGAAAAAATAAATTTTGGCAATTAGGAGGAAGCCTAAAAAAAATTTCAGGTGAAGATATTAAATGTTCATTGGAATATACAGAGCTTTTAAAAATGATCAAATTCTACCTAGAAAGTAGTATATGTTTTTTATTTTAAATTTCCTTTATAGGCAAAATGACTGTGATCTTTTATCACAACTAACATACTTTTGAATTGATTTTCTAATGTTTTTGGTTACTTATCCATTTGAATTTTCTCTGATCTCTTTTACAACTAATATTTGCTTAATAACTAGCCAAATTAAAGACTGGATAGTCAAATGAAGCACGTATTACTAGAACAAACTTGTGATTTGAGATACATTTACAGCTTCTAGTCAATATTTTTATTTACCTCTTCACAAATTGCCTACCGAAACGTATAAAATACTGCCGTACAGAATAAGTGGTGCTAAGTTGGCATTTCTACTCCAACACCAAAAAAGTATAGTTTATTCATTACATCAAATATAGCAATATTAAATTCAATAAAAAAAATTTTTTAATGTACACACATACAGAATGGGCACACACATACATTCACAGATCTTAATCAATATACCAAGTTTGTTTTAACTCTTCAGTGTCTTAATTCCTCGTCTGTAAAATAAGGATAACAGTACCTATCTCAATGGGCTGTTGTAAAATTTAAGTAAGCTAATACTGGTAAATGACTTAGTACAACCTCTGGCACACAATAAAATTCAGTACATGTTTTCTATTCTTATTATCATCATCATGTTATTATAAATTCAAAATAATAGACATGTTAAGTTTTGAGTAAAGTATATTTTTATAACTATCTTCAGAACAAATGCAATTATTTTATTTAAGTTATTCTACTAAAAATGTTTTTTTACGCCATGTATTCTAGACCTTAAGCAAAGCTTAAGTCTAAACTTTCTAAACAAAAAAAATGTACCTGTAAGTAGCTTTGACCTGATAGAACATTCAGTTGCTTCAACCACCACTGTCTTCAAAGTCTTTGGAGGGTTGTGCAACTATTTTGTTTTCTCAATAACTAGACAGTTTGGGTAGGTTTTATTTAGATGTTACAACATTGTAAGTAGAAAGGAATTTAGAGAGGGAGGGTCTATTACTAATTAGAGGTAGAACAACAGAGGCATAAATCTCTCTCTTTAAACTTAGCTTAGCTCTCCCTAAAGGTATTACAAGAAAATTTAATCTCATTCTTTACTATATTCATCATATACTATTAGTTAATAACATTATCAGGTATCAGACAAAAATATGCAATCACTATTTTATCCTAATAGTAAAATATTTAAATATTGTATATGTATGTTATGGGGAGGGGAGGAAAGGTATTGGTTAATTTGGGTTATTAAACTGCTAATTCACTACAGAACTCAAGAAACATTCTTCTAGCTAATCTTATATTAGATTCTTATAGTAGTTTGTATATAGCCTCTGATCATATTTCTTGGCCCTTTAGATTAATGTAATCAAAAAGATGAAGTTAAGTAAGCTACTATTAATATTTAATTCCATGTCTTAGAGCATTTTTATAAATTAAATTAAGGAATTCAAAAGTGAAATCACCTCCAGATCTTTAATAATATCATGTAGTTCTGAATCAGCAGTGATAAAAGATGTTAAAGGTGAATATATATTTGATTCATTTGACTTTGATGTCAGTTTTCTTCTCTCTTTATTTGCTTCAGACATTTTTCTCTTAGGTGTTTGGAATGAAGCAGGTTCTATGGCATTAATAGGCAAAAGGTCTATAAGAGCAAAGGCATTTTCAAAACACAAGTTTTCTTCTCGATGTGAATACACATGTAGGTTTTCCATTTGTGTTCTAATGTTAGAAATTAGAGAATCTGAAAAATCTGGCAAAAAACCTGAGGCAAACATCTTTTCTTGATTTTCAGGACTGTTGTTACATATTCCCTCAATATCTACTTTATACTTAATTTCATTCTGCACTTTCCTTTCTTTTGCCATTTTTAATGCCAGTCCATTGACATCTAATTTTGACCGCGTATGGTACACTTTCCAATGTTTCTTCAATTTCCTGTTTCTCTCCTCAGCTCCATGAGTATTGGTATTTGATGAATCAATTCCATAAACTTTTAAGCCATACTTCAAGGACAAAAAAGAGCTTAGGTAGCCTTTTCCAGAACCCAGGTCAATTACCTAAAGTAAGAAAAACAGAATGAAATAAAGGATTTTAGTCAGATGAGAACAGAAAGCATTCTCAATATCTTTTTAAAAAGCAAGTAAAGAAATGGTTGTGTAATTTATACAACCTGTTGTTTGTTTTTTAATTTTTGATTCCTACTAAAAACCAACCATTTTCATCATTTTTATTTGACATTTTAAAGGAGGTTGTAGACACTATAATAAGTCAAGGAATAGATGTAAAAGATATAAATATGGGAAATAAAACTGTATTTCTTCATAGATGACATGATTGCATCTGTAGAAAATCTAAAGGAATATACAAAACTAACAACTAGCAATTGAATTTAGCAATGTGTCAGGATACGGGATCATTAGAAATTCATAATGAACCAACAGAACATATACAATACAGTAGCAAAGAACAATTAGAAAATAAAATTTAAAACCAACTGAATTAAAATAGCAAAAAAATATAGTATCTAGGAATAAATTTAGTGAAGGTTCTGCAAGGCCTATTCACTGAAAACTTTAAGCGGAGAAAAAATTTAAAAGATCTAAATAAAGATACACCATGTTCACGAAATGGCACAGACTTAAAATGAAGATGCCAATCCCCCAAAATGACTTGCAGATTCAACACAATCCTAATCAAAACCCCAGCAGGGTTTCTTAAAAAACTGACAACTAGATATTATAGTTTATATGAAAAGGCAGAGTACCTAGAATAACCAAAACAATTTTGAAAAAGAATAACGTTGGAACATTTATCCTGATTCAGGAATTAATATAAAACTACAGTAATCAAAAACAGCATAGTGCTTTAATCAAAACAGATAAATAAATCAATAGAAAAGAACAGCATACAGAAATAGACCCAAACTTATATAATCAACTGATTTTTGACAAAATAGCTAAGGTAATCCAATAGAGAAGATAATCTTTTCAACAAATGGTGCTAGTATAATGGATGTCTGTCCGGGGAAAAAAGTGAACTTTACCTATCACACAGCAAACACAAAACTTAATTAAAAGTGTATGGACACCGGGGAGGGTATGTGCTATGGTGAGTGCTGTGAATTGTTTAAGACTGATGAATCACAGACCTGTACCTCTGAAACAAATAATACATTATATGTTTAAAAGAAAAAAAAAAGAAGAAGATAGTAGGAAGGGAAAAACGGAGGGGGGGAAATCGGAGGGGGAGATGAACCATGAGAGACTATGGACTCTGACAAACAAAGTGAGGGTTTTAGAGGGAAGGGGGGATGGGGGATGGGTTAGCCTGGTGATGGGTATTAAGGAGGGCACGTATTGAATGGAGCACTGAGTGTTATACGCAAACAATGAATCATGGAACACTACATCAAAAACTAATGATGTAATGTATGGTGATTAACATAACAATAAAATTATTAAAAAAGTTATATCACAAATCTAAATGTGATAGTAAAAACTATTAAATTTTGGAAGAAAGTATGAGAACCATTTTTGTGACACTGAGGGGGCAAAGATTCCTTACGCAGGACATAAAAAGTATTTGCTTTTACAAAAGAACTAACTGAAAAAACAGACTTCATCAAAATTAAAAATTTTGCTATTAAAAGTACATAGTTAAAAAAAGAAATATTTGCAAAACATATATCTGACCAATGGTTTGTATCCAGAATATACAAAGAACTCTTACAACTCAAAAATAAGACAAGCAAACAACTTAACAATTGGCAAAATATTTAAATGCACACTTCACAAAAGAAGATATACAAATGGGCAATATGAAAAGATGCCCAACATCACTAGTCATCAGGGAAATGCAAATTAAAATCATAATGAGATACACACAAATGTAAAGTGGTTCAGGCACTTTGAAAAACACTGGTAGCTTATCCTAAAGGTAAAACGTACACCTATTACATGACCTACAAATCCCAATTCAGGCTCTCTGCCAAAGATAAATGAAAACATGTTCACACAAAGTCTTATATGTGAATATTCATAGCAGCTAAAAAAAAATGGTAACATCGCAAATGTCCATCAACTTGTAAGTGGCAAAACAAATTGTAGTATATACCATGTCCTAAAGAGAAACAAAGAGTAAATACAACATTGATGACTCTCAAAAGTTATGTGCTGAAGGAAACAATTCAAACACAAAAGTCCTCATCCTATTTGATTCCACCTATATGACGTTCTAGAAAATTCAAAACTACGGGTATTGTGTAAGACTGATGAATCACAGACCTGTACCCCGAAACAAATAATACATTATATGTTAATTAAAAATATATATATATAAAGGGCAAAAAAAAAAAAAAGAAAATTCAAAACTACAAGTAGGTCAGGGGTGCCCAGCTAGTTCAGTTGGGAGAGCATATGCCTCTTGATCTCAGGGTCATGAGTTTGAGCCCCATGCTGGGGGAGGAGTTTACTTCAAAACAAAACAACAACTACAAGCAGGTCAGTAGTTACCTGAGAGTGGAGAAAGAAATAGCTTGTGGAAGGGCATGAGGAAACTTTTTATGATGGCAAATATTTTTGATTATGGTGGTGGTTACACAACTGTACACACCAAGTTCATCAACATGTACACCTAGAATTGCTGAATATGTACATTATACCTCAATAAAACTAAAAATAAGAAAATTAAATATTACCGAGATTGTTACTGTACTGCCATGTCATTTCATAAGAAATAAATAATTACAGGAATACTATCATAAGAAATCAGTATCTAATTTTATGTCTATCCTAAAATCAGTTAAACACTGATAAGTATGAGCCACTCCAGGAAACATTCTTTTTTTTTTTTTTTTAAAGATTTTATTTATTTATTTGAAAGAGAGATAGAGAGCACAAGTAGGCAGAGAGGCAGGCAAAGGGGGAGGGAGAAGCAGGCTCTCCGCCGAGCAGGGAGCCCGATGTGGGACTCGATCCCAGGACCCTGGGATCATGACCTGAGCCAAAGGCAGACGCTTAACCGACTGAGCCACCCAGGTGCCCCCAGGAAACATTCTTATATCTGAAGTAATTCCATTAATTAAATCCTCAAAAATGTTAGGGTCTTGCAATTCAGGCAGTTCATAGGTAAGACTCCAATAAATAATTCCCATAAATAAGCTTACAAAGAACTCCCTCTGCCCTTTTTTATGTTCATCTCTGGGCTAGGTATTATGAGAAATACAGAAGCATTATATATCTTGATTTTAAGGAATTACAATCTAACTGAAGATACCATACCTATACTCATGAATACAAGGGCTATACAGTAGAAACTATTAGTCAGTTCTCTCCTATCTGAAACTCCAGAGAAAGCAAAGCTCTCTATTCCTTTCCTTCTATGAAACACACTTACTGATGCTGATGACAACCTTAAAGTTAGCAACCAGTGGGTTGCTTACAAGCATCAGTACATTTGTTCCTATCAGTATAAATGTTTTCTTACCAAGAGGCAATTGAGCCTGTTCCTATATCTGTTTATGGCAATTCCACTTGTGAGTCAAGAATATCCTGGCTGCAAGTAACAGAACATCAAGTTTTGAACAATGAAGAAAATCCACCCCACTTAAGAAATCTGGCAGTACAGTGGCTGAACCATTCAAAGGCTCAACCACAAACAGCCTTGGGGCATCTTATTTGTAATTTCTCTGGTTGTAAGATGGCTGTAGAAATTCTAAGAATCATGTCTTCACAGTATTATATCTAAAACCTTTTCAGTAATGGGCGAATTCTCCTAGGAAATCTATCAGTTGACTTACACTCCTATTTTATTGATCCAAGTTGACTTTTATCCCCCCTCCAGATTTGTCTAATTTAGTAGCATATGTGGTATCAGCAACACAATGAAAACTTCTGTGCAATTAAGTAACATAAGCCATACAACATTTTGCCTTCAAACTATCTGATCTGAAGAGCAAAATCTCCACCATCCTGATCTCCTATTACCCTTTACTCACAGCAGTCTTTTCCTTCCTGATCATTTTATGGGTTTGAGAATAAAGGATTTTCCAGTCCAATGCCTGGTGGGAGGTATCTTCCTAGTCTCCTAATTCTGTTTAGGAGACTTTCCCACAGAAACATTGTTACACAGAGTGGGGACATTTCTTAACACTATTAGTACAGTAATACACTTCATATAGAAGAGTTACATATTGGGGCGCCTGGGTGGCTCAGTTGGTTAAATGACTGCCTTCGGCTCAGGTCATGATCCTGGGGTCCTGGTATCGAGCCCTGCATCAGGCTCCCTGCTCAGCCGGAAGCCTGCTTCTCCCTCTCCCACTCCCTCTACTTGTGTTCCCCCTCACGCTCTCTCTATTAAATAAATAAATAAAATCTTTAAAAAAAAAAAAAAAGAGTTACATATTTTTTTGAGTCTGCCGTTTTTAATAAAAATTGTATTTAAGGTATACAACATGATGTTTTGATATACATAGTGAAATGACTACTACAGGCAAGCTAATTAACATAGCCATCCCCTCACACAGTTACATCTTTTTTGTTTTGTTTTGTTTTTAAATAAGGAGGTTCATAGTATCTTTTTTTATTAGTTGCAGAGATAGAATTTAGTGATTCATCAGTTGCATATAACACCCAGTGCTCATGACATTAAGTGCCCTCCTTACTGCCCATCTCCCAATTATACCTCCCTCTCCCTCCAGCAACCCTCAGTTTGTTTCCTTGAGTTCAGCATCTAGAAGAGTTATATTTTGTTATCTGACCTAGAGATCTAATTACCATTCTAGGCTAATGACTTTCAAATTTGTAATTCTAGTATGAAATTCTCCCATGAACTTCATACTCATATAACCAACAGTCTGCTAAACATTTCTACTTCAATATCTAATAAGAATCTCAAATTTAATATGTTCAAAACTAAGTTCTTGATATTCTCTGTAAAACCTGCCTTTCCCATAATATTCTCCATCATAGTTAATGGTATCTCCATACTTATCTCCAGGTGGAAATTACGACTCCTTTCTTTCTCTCATACCCTATGTGTGAAATGTGAGCAAATCCATAATCTTAGCAACTGCACCCTAAGCCTGCCTTACTGCCAACAACCTCCTCAATAGTCTCTCTGCTCCTTTCCCTCAAGTCTATACTCAGGAGAACAAAACAAAGTCTGATCATACCACTCCTCTTAGCAAAATCTCTCTTCAACTCTTTAATCTTATCTCTTCCTTACTAACCTCTTTTGTTATTGGGATTTATGCCTTAACTCTGAAAACTCTTCACATGCTCAGGTTAGGAGCCAATTTCTGAAAAGAACCAGCTTGAATGTCTACAAAGACTATGGTTAAAAAAGGCAAAGACAGTGAAAATATCTGCTTTGTAACAGTTCTCAACACAGCAACCAGAGTGATCCAGTGTGTCCAACGGTTTCTCATCTCTTTCAGGATAAAAGCCCGAAATATCACAATGGCCTCTAACACTCTACAACTTTATGACCTGCCTTCTACCACTCCGACCGCAGCTCCTACTGCTTTGCCCTTGCTCTCTCCAACGGAGCTGATCCGGCTTTCAGGCTGTTTCAAGAACACACCAGACATACTCCGACTCTAGGTCCACTGAGCATGTTATCCGTTCTATCTGAGAAGTTTTTTGTCCAGATATTCTAATGGGTAACTCTCTTACCTCCTGAAGGAGGCCTTAATTCAAATGAGTTTAAAACGAGTTCTTAGTTGTTCCTCCCTTTCTTAGCAACAGCTTTAATCTCCCATCTCTGAATTAGCTACTTCCTTTGCTTTGTATTTTTTCTCTTTAAAGTATACTAACACACACCAAAAAATATACGTATAATCACTTTATGATCTATCTTTCCCCATTAGAATATAAATGCCATGGGGCAAAGATATCATTAGTTTTGTTCATTACTGCATCCTCAGTATCTGTAATAGTGTGTGACACATGGTAGGAGCTAATGAAGTATCTGTTAAATGGATGCATGCATGCAGGTATGAATGAATGAATATATTTTGGAAATAAAAATTAAAAAGCCTTGGTAATGTGCGTGAGAGAGGCAAAGGTTTTTGGCATGTAGGGAGCAATGTAGCTGGGGCAAAAATGAATTCTGTTTTGTTTTCTTCTCTGGTGTCTATGGTCACTAGTAAAGTTAGGTATTTCAGAATCTGGGTTTCCATCTATCCCCATGAAATCTGTGCTTACTAAATCTGCATTTTAAAAGTAAAAGTTGTACACATATAATAGACTTTAAACTCTACTATTGTGAGATTCAAATACTGCTATAAAGTGATTTCAAGAGAATGACTTTAAGTCTTTAATTTAGGTTATTTCATTCCCAAAGACAAGCCTCAGTGCTATAATCAAGTCCCCCAAAAGCAGGTCTAACATGATACCTTAAAGTATTTCAAAATTTCTCTGCACTTTAGAAATAAAATAATCTGCTGTGTGACTTTAAAGTTATTTATTACTTAATGTTTCATATAAATAAAGAATAAATGTAGTCTAAATGTAAAGTTATGAAGCACAATAATAAATAGCACTTATCTTAGTTTGGGTTATCACAGAGCACATTCTACAGCAAAGATTTAAGTATAAGCAAATTATTTGGGAGGGAAGTAGAAAACTGAAAAGGAGAAAGGAAGGCAGCCCAATAAAATCTGTGCTATTAAGAAAGATACCACTTGGGAGCTAGTGTACAACACATACCTCAGAATCATCCTACCTGAAATGGCTACATCAACTTTCATCAATCATTAATTCAAGGCTGTTCAAAGGGAAGAATTAATTCCCAGAACGTATATACAAGTAGTACTTTACTTTGGCAGCCAGAGAAAACCCACAGGGGAAAATGCAGATATTGCCAGGTAGAAGGCACGCTGGCACACCATGAAATGTCCGAGAATATTTGGGTTAGGCATCCAATAGTATCTGCTATAACAGTGAACCTACCAGCCATCCTACGAATGAAAATGTATTTCCACTGCACATAACTATGTTTTCCTTCCATATCTCATCTCACTGCTTCCTAGGCCAGAAGTAACAACTATTCTCAAATTATTATTCCCTTGCTTCTTTAATAGCTGTTTTGCATGCATTTTTTGCATTAAGAATATACCATTATTTTGCTTAAAAGCTTTAAAAAAATGGTACCATAAAATATGTAGTCTTCTGTACACTTTAATTTTCCACTCAATTTTCTTTTTTTTTTTATTCTTATGTTAATCCCCATACATTACATCATTAGTTTTAGATGAAGTGTTCCATGATTCATTGTTTGTGCATAACACCCAGTGCTCCATGCAAAATGTGCCCTCCTCAATACCCACCACCAGGCTAACCCATCCTCCCACCCCCCTCCCCTCTAGAACCCTGTTTGTTTTTCAGAGTCCATCGTCTCTCATGGTTCGTCTACCCCTCCGATTTCCCCCGCTTCATTCTTCCCCTCCCGCTACCTTCTTCTTCTTTTTTTTTTCTTAACATATATTGCATTATTTGTTTCAGAGGTACAGATCTGAGATTCAACAGTCTTGCACAATTCACAGCGCTTACCCGAGCACATACCCTCCCCAGTGTCTATCACCCAGTCACGCCATCCCTCCCACCCCACCCCCCACTCCAACAACACTCAGTTTGTTTCCTGCGATTAAGAATTCCTCATATCAGTGAGATCATATGATACATGTCTTTCTCTGTTTGACTTATTTCACTCAACATAATACCCTCCAGTTCCATCCACGTCGTTGCAAATGGCAAGATCTCATTCCTTTTGATGGCTGCATAATATTCCATTGTATATATATACCACATCTTCTTTATCCATTCATCTGTCGATGGACATCTTGGCTCTTTCCATATCCACTCAATTTTCTAATATCCATCCATGTAATATGTATGGCAGTAGTTTATTACTGTGTAATTGCCCCTTTTACTCCAGCTGAGTATCACTGCCATGGTAAGCCTGTTACTGATCCATGTAGGTACCACTAGGTATGATACATTAAATAAAAGGTTGAAAATTGCTGCCTTAGCTCTTCCCTCTAGCCCCTAACCTAGAGATCTACGCTGCCATAAGTGGCTCTGCATGCCTAGTCCAAGCTGTGACAGTTTTCTAATCATCCTCAAACTCTCCACAAGTCTGGAAGAGTCCATGAAAAAGATTCTAATGCCTAATAGAAACTGAAGGAGGGAAGATCCTCCACTACCCCTATAGATGTTCTTGTAGAGATAAGAAATATAATTTACTATTTTTACAAGCCAGGGATAAGAAAAATAACTCACTATTTTTATAGGTCAATACAGGCAATCTCTGATTTTATTTTAACATCTGTTTTCAGACAATACTGCTTCACAAAAGCTACTTTTCACAACAGGAATGCACTGTGATTCTGACACTGTGAAAGAATCCAAGTCCTAAAACATAGTTTCTTTGTGTTACTATAATGAGGCAGGTACCCCAGACCATAGCTTGGTAACCCAGGTTCTGAGAACACCCAGTGGCAAACAATTATGCAGAATGTCATTATCATAATGCTGCCTCAAGTTGGAAATTTATCAAAGATAATTTAAAAGAGTGAAATCTGTGGCAAAACATGAATAGTCATATCTTATTTTTAGTATAAATTTGTTATGATCATAGTGTATTGGGAAATGAGAGGACATATTTAAAGTGTCTGACAAAACTAACATCAGCTATTATTTAATGACATTCAAAGGCTAGATAGTGATCATAGATAAGAACGTAAATGTATAACAAAAAAAAAAAGGCACTAATTTTAACACTTGAAAATACAAGGAAATTCTCTTACCTGCTTTATTCCATAGTAATCAGCAATACTGCTGATCAGCTCTGACATAGCCTGAACTTCATGAGATTTTTTCAAATTCATAAATTCATCTGGTTTCACATTTTCACCTGAACAAAAATAAAACAAAATTAAAATACTGCTATTAAAGAAACAAAATGCAACAAAAAATCATCAGTTAATGTTCATGTTTTCTATAATTACATATGAAAATAATAAAGAGATTCCATTGTGCCTGCATGATAGATCTCTATTAGTTTAGCTGCTATGAATCAAAATTTGAATTAACAACATAAATAAGAAGACCCACAGAACATTATTTAAAAAAAAAAAAAATGTTCCTTGACAGGCGCCTGGGTGGCTCACTTGGTTAAGCGTCTGCCTTCGGCTCAAGTCATGATTCTGGAATCTTGGGATTGAGCCCCACATCGGGCTCCCTGCTCAGCAGGAAGCCTGCTTCTCCTTCTCCCTGCCCCTGGCTCATGCTCTCTCTTGCTTTCTCTCTCTCTCAAATAAATAAAATCTTAAAATTAAAAAAATTAAAATGTTACTTGACACAAAAAAACAATTATAAAGGAAAAGACTGACAACTGGACTAAAATGTAGGAAAAAAATGTGGAGATCTGTAACTAAGTTGTTCTGTATAACATGATGCATAAGAAAACCTACTCATCTAAGTATAAGCCAATCTATCAGTGTTCATGATAGAAGAGCACTGATAGAACAATAAATTAAGAACATGTTAGAAAGAATATATGAACATATATGAGCATTATGTTGCTTCTAATACTAAAAAAACATACATACACACTTACCAGTTCTCTGTTTTTTATTTCCTCGAAGGGCTGTAAGCAACTGTTCAAAAGGAGTACATATTCCCAAATTTGGTACAGAATAAGATCTCACAGCCAGAGCAAAGGCCTCCACATTCACCAGCTTCTGGGAAGTCTCACAAAATATTTTGGGAAAATTGGTAATACCTAAAAAGACCAGGATAAAAAGAAATGTTAGCAATATCTAATTAATGCTAATTTGTGTGAGATTTAAAAAATAAATGAAAAACACTGGATCTTTACAAAAAATTATAATTTTCCATTTCAGTGTGACTTTTGACAATATCTCTAATGGTTCCATTGTTTTGTTATTTCAGCTATTAGCTATCTGTAGCAACCAGTTTTCTCTTAATAGTGTACACAATTATATATTTAAATTCTAAATTAAAATTTGGCCTTTTTTTCCTTCCAAAAGCCAAAAAAAAAAAGCAGCAGCAGCAGCAGCAGCAAAATAAAAGTTTAAAATCCTGCTACACTGTAATGTGGTCATTAAATTTATGAATGGTCCTGGCTGACCTACAACTGGGAATTTAAAGGCAATCAGCGTGCACTACACTGTTATTCCCTGTGCAGACTGCATGTGGAACAACGGCAATGTCCCCAGTGGTATAAATGTTACTGTAAAAGAGTCCCTGCACCATTTGGACCATAAAGAATTGTGTGTGTGTGTGTGTGTATGTGTGTTCAAAGCACTGTCAATATGAGTTTTAAAAGTTGTCATGTTAAAATCAAGTGAAAACAGTTCATTCCCTTTCCCTGGTCAGTTTTAAGCCATATATTCTGTAAGTTTACTATAAGAACTATTGATGATTTCCAAATGCTCACTCATTAAGAAGAGTATGGTCAACTGTCATACCACAAACATCCGCTACCTCTCTTTGTGTGAGGATCATGTATCCTGCTGAACTCTGGTGTGGACACATCTCACCAAAGGGAACTTTGCCATTTTCAGACAGAAGTTTTAAGAGAACTGGAGGATTCACTATGCTTTTTTTCCCCAGAACTGTAATCACTAAAGCATGTGTCAAGATGGAGCCAGAGTCCTTGAGTGGCTATGACACGGCCATCACTGCTGCCAAACCACTGTAGGCTGCAACATACAGGAAAAGTAAACTTCGTTCTTTTTAGTCACTGAGTTTTTAGGTTTATTACTGCAGCATAATCTTGCCTATTCTAATGAAACAGATAGAAACACATATGCACACTGAAAGAGTTGCCTTTTTTTGCTCAATTTCAGTTTTTTATGGCCATTTTTATATATTTAATTTATTTAAGACGCTTACAAAGAGGGCATTCCAATGTGTCTGTAGTGATTTAAATAAACTCTTTGAATAGATCAGTCTAATTAAGTTCATTCATTGAAAATTACTTTTAATAATTTAAAAAAACCCATACATCCGGTGTTTAAATGAAATATTTAAAATGTTCACCTTATGGAAGAATGGTACAATCCAGGAAACAACTTTGGTTCTACCACAGAAACCAAACTATACACTATGAAGTCTATACTACCATAGCTGACCCTCCACAGTTACTTACAAAATTATAAAAATTCATTTTTTTTAAGATTTTATTTATTTGACAGACAGAGCACAGCAGAGGCAGAGAGAGGGAGAAGCAGGCTCCCTGCTGAGCAAGGAGCCCGATGTGGGACTCGATCCCAGGACCCTGGGCTCATGACCCGGGCCGAAGGCAGCCACTTAACCGACTGAGCCACCCAGGCGTCCCTATAAAAATTAATTCTTCAAGCAAATTTTCTAGCAAAAATTAAAAGAAGAAAACTGATGAAGGCTTGCAGAAACCTAAATAAGAACTACATGTTTAAGACAGTATCTTTTTAAAGCTAATATCTATTGTTGGTGGTAATGTTTACCATGTTAATTAATAAAAATAAAATTGGCAGAGACCTGTAACTTCCATTTCTGAATCAACTAATTAGAGATTTAAGCTCCAAAATCACTACAGTAAATTTATTTAAGATATATTTTGTGTATTATAAAGTTCTTTGGATATTTTACAAACTGAATTTACTAACGCAGACAAAAGTAATAAAACCCACATCAAAATATTTAGGCATAATACAGAGGGGAAAACTCAGTCAATTATTAAGTGAGACTCTCAAGTTTAAGGGCAGTCTCAACATCCCCAAGTTCCAGGGCAGCAATTTCTTTGAGTGTGATAGAATAAGAATATTAAATCTCAAAGTGCAGAGAGACTATTACAGTAGTCAGTTATTGGACAATGTTGCCAACAGAAAGAAATGTGATGTTTCTGTTGGAAAAGTAAAGGTTCAAATCAACTTAACTATCCTACTGAAAATACTTGAAAAAATCCAAATCCAACCTGATCTAAATGTTGTTAATTTGCTTTTAAATACAGGCTTCACAGAAATTTCAGAAATCTAGAGATCTAAATTACAAAGTGTTATCTTTTCAACAATGCTTGCTTTTTTAAAAAAGGAGAGTGTTCTGATTCAGTCCATTAGTTTATGTCATTTAGGGCTATACGACTTTATTTAGATAGTCTAGGACCTCTGAAAAAATCTTTCTGAATTACAGAAATATAGCTTCTGTACTTTCTTTGTTTTCAAGTGATCCAGCCTGTAACTTCCACTAGCAATTTTTAAACATTCAGAAAGAGGGGAGAGAGAGAGAGAGGCGTGTCATGTTATCTTTACTTCCACCTCTGAAATTGTATGTAAGAAAAGTTATGTAGCAATGGTAACAGTGTATGTAGTCCTCATAGTGCTTCTCTAGGAACTTGTAGAAGGAGTTTGGGTTCGGCAACTGGCAAAACAGAAACCACAGTGTTAACCAATATTTACTTAATTATTAATTAGCTGGATTTTTTTATACAGGGAAAGCTTTGTTTTTAAAATTTGTTGCCACTACACCGCCATATTAAGTGGCTTGATTATTTTGTAAATATCTCCCCCTACTGGAAGTACCTGTTCTGCTTGATTGCATGCTTTGTTTTTACGTACTCTTAGTTTTTGTACACCCTTGATCACTATCCCATAGAGGTTTCTTGTAATATGGGTTGATTGGGCATGAGAGCAAGAGGAGCAAAGAGGCAACGGAGAAGCTATTTTCTGTAAATATGAGATCAGGATATCTCTAGGTACCTTTTTTTTTTTTTTTGAAAACAGCAGAGATCAATATACAAGGAAAGATAGAAAAGTTAGATATACATATTAATTATGAAAATCTCAAGGTAGAGAAATGAATAATAACACTTCAAAACTAAAAATAAAATAGAAAAATTCAACCAATATATTTACATTTTTAAAAGTTTCAAAAATAAATGTCTGTTATTTTATTTGAATGTTATCTAGCACTTTAAGGAAGACAGAGTACTGCTAGGATTCATAACTCATTGAAATTATAACTCATTGAAATTATAACTAACATTTATTGTGCATATGCTATGTGCCAGGCACCGCACTCAACAGTTTACATTTAATGGAACAGTCTTATGAGGTGATTACATAGTGCTCTTATCCCCATTTCCAGAGGAAGAAATCGAAACTTAGAGGCTACACGTTAGCCATGTTTGCACAGACTCCAGATGGGTGAACCAAGGCAGTGTTCAGCCTTTGCCTGTAATTCCCAAATTTGATTATTAGCATGCCACAGCAGTAAGCTCAGTGGGCAAGAAATGAAAACAGGAAAGACAGGAGTTAAAACCGCTAGGCAAGTGTATGACTGTCAGAATCAGGTCTAGCAAGAATTCCCTCTGGCACAGATCCATACCATGGTAATATCTTAAGATGGTTCATACTACTTTGTTCATGTTCTTAATTCTTTCACTTTATTTCCCTCAACACCTCCCGCTCTACCAGAAGTGATTTTAAGGTTTCAAGAAATTTAAAAAGTAATTTTTACACACAGAACAACTGATGTCTCTGAAAAAGAAATAAAAAGGCTTTATAATGAGATTTTGTTGTAGTATCTACTTCTACAAGTAAAGCAACCCAACTGCTTCATGCCCAGTTTTAAAGCAACAATACCTTCATACGGCAGGCACTCGGTTACTAAGAGAGGAATGGATGAATGAAAGCAGTTCTTTAATATACTCACTACTGCAGCATCACCAGCTATACTAGGAGAAACAAATTCTAAGATTCTGTGGTGGTAGTGATCCCTGAGGCCAGTTGGAGGACTTCCATAGCACTGCTGAGCCTGTTAGAATGAAATCTCATCTCAGCCAATCATAAGGTGAGGCAAGAGCGATTTAGAACATTTAGACTATGATACAAGATCAAATATGATTATGTGCTAAATTTGAGGTTTAACCGTGTTACAGGAGTTAGGACAAAGGTCACTACTGCTATCACACAGCCTAGAACTGTCCCATGGCCCAGAATTTCAAGAAAAATCAATAGCGCCCTCTTAATAATAATCTTCAAAGGACATGGAAATGTATTATATTCACTTCTACATGAATATCCTACAGATGCCTCTAATTCAAAAGGTTCAAAATTGAAATGCACATTCTCATGCTCTCCAAACCTTTCCTTTCTCCTACTTCCTATCTTGTTTAATAATGTCCTTGCTCGCTCAGTGCTGAAGTTAAGTCTTTACGTTATCTTAAATGCTCCCTGTGCCCTCAGTCCACATGTCCAGCCACCCATCTATCTTAATGTAAAAATGTCTTTCATTGTGGAACTAACCACCCTCCTTCCCTGTGCCCCACTATCACTACCAGAGTTCAAACTCCATTAACTCTCACCAGTGCTACTGCAATAGCTTCACAGGTGATTTTTTTTCTTACCAATAAAACTCCCATAAGCACAATAAGTGCTCATAAGTGTTGGCTGAGTTGAATTGAACATGTTTTCTAAAACAGAAATTTCCTTGTTTTCAATGCAAATTTAATTGAACATTTTAAGGCTGTGACTTCCACAATGAATGACTTAGGCTTTAATCTTTTATACTTTTTTAGTAGACTTCAACCAAAAGGTAAAGTCTATCTTGTTGAACTTGAAAATTATAGATGGGATGCATTAAATTTTATGAATGTCTGAATATCTTTATAATCCTATCACTTATGTAAGGAAGAAAATAATATATATACTGCTACTTTTTTTAAATTAATTTCTATCATCCAATTACATACTAGGAAACTTTTTTTTTTTTAAAGATTTT